AGGAGAAGGACTCTAACATCAGATGGCCGGTGTAAGTCCTGGCTGCACCCCTCACTAACCCAGTCTCTCCGTGCTGCACCTCTGTAGTGAGACCTAATAGTTAATATGAGAACAATGCCTGGAGCTCAGCACTGGCCCTTGCCTAGCGGAAGCTATTATCTGTGACCTCAAGCAAGTTACTCAGTTTCTCAGTGCCTCAGTTTCCTCATCTGTGAAATGGAACTTATAACAGTATTCACCTCACAACCTTATTATGAAGATTCAATGAACTAATTTTTAGAGTGTGCTTAGATTCTTAGAACACCACAAGCCCAAAGTGCCGGATGTTAGCACCTGGCACATATTTTGATCCAGCTATGAGTGTGGGCAACAGCTGGCATCTGCTCTCCTCGTCAGCTCCCTGACATGCTCTACTGAAACAGCTGAGGTCCACGCCCTGCTGACCTGTCCATCGGCCAGATTTGAATCCCCACTCTACCATTTCTTAAAACTTATAATAAGAGTTACTGTTCGGAAAATTAAATGAGAAAATAAATGCAAAAGAATCTAGAAAGATGCCCAGCATAGAGTAAATTTCCGTAAATTCTCCTCTCACTGTTCCCAATTCACAGATGAGGAAATTGAGGCTTTAGGAGGTTATGAAACCTGCCTGAGCCTCCACACATCACCAGTGGCAGAACCAAGACAGGAGCAGTTTCAACCTGATCTGCTGATGCCTTCCTGCCACCTTCCTGCCTGGACCCCAATGCCCTAGGGTCCTGGCTCCTGCGGGGTGCTGGGAAGAGCTGCTTGAAATTGGATGGACAGACCAAGATGACTCAGTCAGGAGGTGCCAGAGACAGCCTGGAACCTAGGGCTCAGCTCTGTGGGACAAGCCGTGCGTGATGCCATCAGATCAAGAGCCTTTGTACATGGCGGGCTGTGCCCCTCTTGGCCCAATGGTTTCCTCCATTCTGAAGCCAGGACACAGGGACTTCCACCATCATTCCGAGAGAAGCTGTTGGTCCCACCTTGGTGCCTTATTTAATAACTCCTCTGCTGGCCTCTCCCACTTCCCCTCCAATATGCTGAGCCCCCACCCCAGCCCAGGCACCATGGGCTCTTCCATCCTCTACGCATTGCACATGCTGTTCCCAGTGGCTGGGATGCCACTCCAGCTCCTCTGCCTGATGAGTGTCCTCTCAGCCTTAGACTCCCTCTGTCCTCCTCCAGCTCTTACACAATTGTCACTCATTTCAACCCCGTCTTGGTCCCTTCAGTGTCGAGAGGAGAGCACTCGTTTATCTCCACGCACATCTCCACTCACCCAGGAGATCCACTGTCACCCCCCGGGATGCTTGAGATCTACTTGTCACTCTTCTGTACCTGCTGTGTCCCAAGGAGGCTGACCCACATTCACTGTGCCCACGGTATCAGAGGGTGGAGGACAGGAAGACAGGTTCCCCGTCCTCTTGGCTGTGCCCCAGGAAACACCCGCCTCCTCTGTGTGACCCCCAGTGTCACAGCCCAGGGCTGCGTGCTCTCCTGGGGCCTCTCCACACGCTGACACACCTTTGAGAAACATCCTTTTATTGAGCTTCTCCAGATCCCTGATTTCAGGGGACAGTCTCTTGGTTCTTGCCACCCTGACTGGTACCCGCGGCTTCAAGCATCCTGCACCTCACAGTAGTTTTCAGGCAAATCTCTCTCCCTGAGGCAGTGAGCTCCGCAGGGCAAGGCCAGCGTCTGGGCCAGTCTGCTTCTTCATGCAGAAAGAGGACACAGGGAGGACACTTGAGAAATGTCCTTGACTTGGATTGTACCAGAACATAATAATCGCACACACAAAGAATTGAGTGAATTTTGAATCCACTCATTCACCCACTCATTCAACTGCAAATGCTCCTTGAATGTCACATGTGTCTGGCAGGGGTGAACAAGACAGAATGGATGGCTTCCTGGGGTTCGCGTTGTGATGAGGAGACACAGGCACAAAAAGCAAAAGCAAACAAACACCTGGAATCATTTCAGATGAATGCTCTGAAGAAAAGCAGGGCACAGGATACACAGTGACAGGGCCACTGGAGCAGGGAAGGCCGGGAGGAGGCCAGGTTGGGGGTGCTCTGGTGCAACACGCAGGCTGTGGGAGGAAGGGCCTTGTTCTATTGAAGGACAGCAGGGAAGAAGGAGGATGAAGGGATGATGCGGGGGATGAGTGGATACCACCTTATTGAAAGGCCCCTTCCACCTTTGAGATTTGAGGACTCCTGGCCCTGGCCCAGGTGAGGCCTAGTAGCCAACAACTTCCTGAATCCATGCAGGTGAAATCCCCGTGTGAGATGCTGCTCTCCATATTCTCCTAATTCATCCTCACAATCATCTACCTCCATTCCACCCATGAGGAAAATAAGGGTCAGAGAAGTTAAGCAATCTGCCCAAAGCCACACAGAGTCAGGGAAAGAACTGGAAAGAAACCCAGATCTGCCTGAACTGTGGCCCAGCAGGTGATTTCCTAATACTAGTGCACCGATTTGCCAGGGACCCCCTGGTCAGGGACATCAGCCTTACAGAAATAGTCTGGTAACAGGACCCAGAGCTTCTGTCCAGGGGTAGGTGCACCCTTTGGAAGCTGGGGTCCCCCCAAGCTCTCTCCACAGCTCTCCGCTGTCTGTAAAGGGAGCACTACGACACTCTTGCAGGGCCAGGCACATTGGCTAATGGGTATCATTTCAGCCCTTTCAGTTCTAATAGACACTGTGCTGCCATAAAGACTGTCATTTCCTGCGGCTCACGCAGATAATCAACATGCTGGCCGCCTGGAGGGCTTGGAACAGCAGGCTCTGGGCACATCTGCGAAGATAGAATCATCTTCTCATTCTCTGCCCTTCCAGGCCTTCCCCACCAGACACTGCCCTTGAGCCTGAGGGCATCGCCCTGGGTCCCAGGAGGCCCAGCTCACTGCAGAGCTCAGGGAAGAACCATCTTGTCTCAGTCTCACTTCAACACTTCAGAGTCATGTGACCCTGGACACAGCACTTTCCCACCCAGAGCCTCAGTTTTCTCACTGTAAAATGGGGGCAAGTGTGCCTAACTTGCAAGGTGGCTTAAGTGAGATGACACCTTTTAAACACCTGCCACATGGTGGGTGCTTGGGCATCAGCAGCTATGACATCAGTGGTTCTGGAGATGGTAATTATGTTTGTCACATTTTGCAAATAAGGAAAGTGAGGCCAGAGAAGGGAATAGGCTTCCCCAATGTCAAACATCAAATCAGTGGCAAATTTGAGCCTAGAACTTGGGTTTCCAGGTCAGGGATTTTGTATGACTTACAAATCCCCAGGAATGACTTACTGAATCCCTTTCTATGGAGTATGGTCACATTATCTCATTTAATTCTCAAAGAGCTGAGGAAGTGGGCATTGTTATCTTCCTTACTTTGCAGGTAAGAAGGCAGGGCTCTGAGAGGTGGGGTGACTTGCCTAAGGTCACACAGCTAGCCAGAGGTAGCCCTGGTTTGACCCTAGGTGGTCTGGCTACAGAGCTCCCAGCCTCTGTGCAGTTGCCCATAAGGGTGGCCTTGGGGGGTGGAGATGGAGCCCCAGCTTTCCCACAGGTGCACACAGGCAGCTCTGAGATTTCCGCTTGGCCCAGTCTGGGCCATCATTTCCCCACCTGATACTACTCCCAAGGACAAGGCCTGGTGTGCGTCCTACAGCCCACACCTCACCAGCTGCGCCCCAAGGTTCAGTCCACAATCCCAGAAGGCAGAACATCCTTGGAAATCTCCAGTGGGTGTTTCCAATTCCCCCAGACAGGGAAACTGAGGCCCAGGGAGTCTGTGAGGTGTTCACCAAGCAGCCTGGTGAAGAGAGGTGTGAGAGGAGGGGGAAGGGGCCTCCATACAACACCCTGGGGAGATTCAGGACTCTCCTGCAACACACCTACCAAGACAGAACCCCCCCAACTCACCATGTTGCTACAGCCTCACAGCAAGAGAGGATCTGCAGCACTACTTTGCAGATGGAGAAATCAAGGCTCCCAGAATCAAAGCGACTTGCCAGTTTCACACAAGTAAGTGGGAGAGCGTGGACGTCCACCCAGTTCAGGTCCCAATGTCCAGGCAGCTCTTTCTCCCTTGCTTCATTTCTCGCTTTATGGGTTCTTTCTCTCTTTTCTCTCTCATCTTTTCTTCAAGATTCTGCCCCCTCACTCCTCAATTCTGCTCTGCCAGAACCACCTTCTCATTCTCTTCCCTTCCAGACCTTCCCCACCAGACACTGCCCTTGAGTCTGAGGGCATTGCCATAAACCCTTCTTTTTCTGTACTGGCCTTTGAATCCAGGGGTGCTCTACCACTAAGCTACATCCTCAGCCATTTCTATTTTTTATTTTGAGATAGTATCTAGCCAAGTTGCCCAGTCTAGCCTTGAACTTGCGATCTCCTGCCTTGGGCTCCTGCATCCGACCACTCTAAATATCTTTTTTTTTTTTTTTTTGGTATAGGGGATTGAACCCAGGGACCCTTAATCACTGAGCCACATCCCCAGCCCTTTTGTGTGTTTTATTTTGAGACAGGGTCTCACTGAGTTGCTTAGGACCTGGCTAAGTTGCTGAGGCTGGCTTTGAACTCGAAATCCTCCTGCCTCAGCCTCTTGTACCACTGGGATTACAGGCATGCGCCGTTGCATCCAGTCACTCTAAACACCTCGAAGGCAGGAATGTCATTTGATTTGCACGCTGCTGTGTGTCTGGAGCTGTCACAACTACAGACACAAGTATGGAAACCAGTGGCTGCTTGTTGGCTTGTTAAATGTACTGTGATTGGGCTACCATTTTTTTTAAACCTGAGACGATGGTCAGCATCATCAGTTTGGAGATTTCTGTTATTGTAGAAGGACTGCTTGAGCAATCAGTATGCAAATACGAAAGTGAACAGGGGAAAGTAGTGTATTATAAAAATAGTTTTGTTTATTTCTCATTAATAAGATTGCTCTACTTCTTGGTATCTGGTAAATCCCTGGAAAAAGGTGGGTTGATTTGCATAATAATCCCAGAGGTCATCCCACTAGGAAGGGTTGGGATTCTGATCCCTGTGATATAAGTTGAGAAAGAAGTTTACATCTTCTTTCTAAGTTAGATATGAATGGTAGAGGCTCTGAGTGAAGAAGCCCAAAGAAGTTACAGAGGCCGACAAGAGAACTCATCTGAGGACGAGGATGGACTAGTGATCTGAGCTCAGGATTAGGGGCGAGGACAGACACACACCGGACTTCAGTGAGCTTTTTGGTGAAAGATCACAAGAAACACCTGTCCTCAATCTCTATCCTGCGCTCCTCCTGAGCACAGTGCTGGGTCTGCTGTGGTTTCCACTGGAACTGACCCAGCAGGCCACCACCACCTGGGTTGACCAGCATCCAGCAGGATGTGCAGGGCCCGCCTTTAACCCCACATCATATGGCAGGGCTGAAATACCAGTACTAGATGGGATTTTGGCTCCCCTTCCCTGTCCCTGGAGTTTGGAGGCAGAGCTGGCTTAGATGAGGTCTTGAGGTACCCGGGTCAATTTAGGAGGCTGGAAGCCTTGGAGAGACAGTGGACTTCCTCCTAGTGAAGGCTTGGGGTGAGCAATGAATGGTGCCCCGAGTTAGTGAAGCACTTATACAAGTCACAGAATGTGTCCATGGTACCCACACTACCACCAGTGACGACAGCTGTCCAAGCCGACAAGTGACACACACAGGAGAGTCCTTTTCTGGAGCAGAATATTTTTAACCTTAATCATAACCACAATTGGGCCCACACTCGGCAGGCTGCAGTTTACAAAGCCCTTCTCCATTCATGTTCTGAGCCTCACGCCAGCACTGTGAGATAGCAAGGCAGGGGGGTGGTCCCTAGGAAATGGAGGCTCAGAGAAGGACCTGACTTGCTCTTGGTCACCAACAAGTCGACTGCCTTCTAGGGATGCCAGATGCAAGCCCCTGTCCTGCCTGCTCACAGCAGCATCAGGACCACGATAGCAGTGATCATGAGGACTCCAGCCAGGATGCAAAAGCCCAGGAACACGATGTCACTGGTGTCCTGGGCCACCATGGTCACTGGGCCCTCCAGCGCCTCTACCTCCTCCCTGGGGGGTGCCTCCTGAAGGTGCTCAGCAGTGGCAGCATAAGGTCCAAGCCAGTCAGAGCCGGACAGCAGGTGCACAGAAGCCTCCTTGCGCCGCGGCTCACAGCGGACCTCGTACTCATGGATGTCCTCCAGCCCAGGGGCTGAGAAGTCGATGTATAGCACACTGACGATCACCGAGGTGTTGTTTCTCCTCTGTGGGGTCACAGGGCACTTGCTCTCACCTGATGGAGCACAGGCTGACCTGTTCCCTTAGGCATATGTAGACCTGGTCTGGTCCTCACTCAGCCACCCATTCCCTTTCACTCAGAGCCTTGGTTCCCCATCCAGAAAAGGGGCCCTATGGGCATGGGCTGTCTGGAAGGAGAGGATCAGATTTGATGAGGTAAGGTTAATGAAAGGCGGTAGCAATAACCACGGCCAACAGTTGGGGGCTCATTTACCATGTTTCAGGCTCTGTAGCTTAAGTGCATTATCTCATAATTCTCATTAATATCCCTATTTTACACATGAGGAAACTGAGGCCCAGAGGTTAACTCTTATCTGGGATCATCTAGCATATAAGTGACAGAGACTGTATTCTCACACAGAACTGTTCAACTGTGCTACTCAAACCAAAAAGCATCAAGACAGTCCCCATCTGTGACAAATGTGGGTGACCACCAAGGCCAAGAGAGCAATGTTTTGCCCACAGTGAGGCTCAGGAGCAAGTCTCCTGCCTCTAAATTAGCAGCTTTGTCCCTGGGGTTGTGGGGCCTTCCTTCTGGAGGCTTCTCTCCCAGTTGTGTGTGCAGTATGAGTCCCTGCTCTCAAGTCACTGGACACCCAGAGACAGCACCCTAGGATAGGGAGGAAGCACTGTGGAATGAGATGTTGGGGAGCCTGCTGCCTCCCCACCCCAAGAATGACAGAGGCAGGGGTCAAGGTACCCTGAGTTGGTGGGGCACCAGGGCCTGTGGGGCAGAACTTTGGTGAACAGTCTGGGGGTCTGGAGGGTGGGGCTGCAGTGACCCAAGGCCACTCCTCACCATGTCACATATGTAGCAGACTCTTTGGGCCACCCAAACTGTCCCTTCTAAGGGGGCTGCTGCAGAGGCAGGGCTCCTAAAAACAGAAGCCACCTAAAATAGGTAGCAGCACAGGCAGAAGGAAGCTCCCATCTCCCAAGACTGGGCGACCCCTTGGGAAGGGTTGAAGGGTGTGACAATCTGGAGTTTTACAGACTAGGTGACTTCTGGGATCTCTTTGGGCTTCCAAAGGACCCTATTCCCATGTCCCCAAGGGAGCCCCTTACATTTGTTCCTCAGTCTGTCTGCCTCTATACCCTGAAAGGGACTTTTGTCCTGAGATTTGGGGACATGGGACGAAGTAAGACAGGAGCCAAGAGTAAAATGGGACCCAGTAAGAAGGCTGAAGCCAATCTACATAATGAAGAAAGGAGAGAAAAACCATATAAGATGAGGAGGGGGTTCAGCAGGGGGTGGGGGTCTTTCATGAGTAAGAGCCTTTAAAAGGACAAGAGGTTTTCTAGGTTGGGAAGTCAAGTCTCTATGGTTTTCAAATGAGCACAGAAAGATTGGGCTTTCATTTTTTATTGTTGCTTTTGGCCATTTGAGCCTCTTTGAAAGCAATTCTACGTAGAGACCGGCCTCAGGGGTCTGGGGCTGGTAAGGGTTACACTAAGCATCTATGATCCAAGGTTTTCAAGTTTTACATTTCCAAGCTACTGACTCCACGATTCTATGGGTCTGCGGCCCTGAGTTCTGAGGTGGTTCTGTTTCTATTAGTCCTTGGTTCTGGGAGTTTCTGGGATTCTTTGTCTCCATCTTTCCATGACTCTGGAATGTGATTCTGTTCCAAGAAAATCCCCAGGGGACTCAGGGCATGGAGCAAGGATGAGTGCAGAATGTCTTTGCAGCAAAGACCAGCCCCCCTGCACTTCTCCTCTCAGGACCAGGAGGCAGAGGAGCAGACTGGAGGGACCAGAGGCCTACAAGTGGCTCCTGCTGCAGGACAAACAGCATCTGCTGAAAGCCCGTGATTTCTGCCAAGTCAGCCCAGATTCCAAAACTGGGGAGTCTCTGCAACAGAGGGCACAGTTCCTTCTCTCACCACTGTCTTTCCTGACCTCTTCCTGGAGGGTGCTTAGGGCACTGGTCAGTGACTCTCTGAGGGCCCTATGCCTGGGTTCATGACCTTCAAAATCCAAGGATAGTAGAAAAGTTTCATTTGTGAGCCTCACAGCCTTTGGAGGGAAGTGGATCCTGTGATTTGAAAGATGCTTTTGTTTGTGGAGCCTAGGGATGGATTTGGATCCCAGGTTGGGGAGGATGGGCAGGAGTGAGCCTGACAGCCTTGTGTACTAAAGAAGTAGAGATGTGGGTGCCTGGGGGGGTTCTGAGGGAGAAAGGGAGGAACAGCAAAGATCTTAAGTGGTGTTCATCAACAGGCTTTTATCATGTAGGGGGCGGGAGGTGGGGACTGGGGATTGAACCCAGGGGTGCTTAACCACTGAGCCACATCCCCAGCCCTATATTGTATTTTATTTAGAGACAGGGTCTCACTGAGTTGCTTAGGGCCTTGTGAAACTGCTGAGGCTGGCTTTGAACTCACAATCCTCCTGCCTCAGCTTCCTAAGCCACTAGGATTATAGGCATGTGCCACCATGCTGGGCTTTTGAGAGCAGCACCAGGGGAGGCTATAGGTTGTCACTGGGCTGTCCAGCAGGATCCCCTATTCAATCCCCCCACCTGAGTTCTTTGCTATGTCTACACTAAGCAAAGATGTTGGGATAAATGAAGCCAAGAAGGGGTGAGCTCTACATCCAGCCTTGTGTACCCCCTAGAGCCAGAGGAGAAGCTGGGGCAGGCAGGTGCCTTTCTGCAGGGCCAAAGCCCCTCCCCCAGACCCATGTTCCTCCTCTCCTCCCTCCCCATCTCACCCCTACCTGAGATTCAGTGCCACAGGTGTCAAAGCGGGCCTGGATCCGGAAGTTGTTGCCGACCTCCTGGGCAGCACAGTTTCGGCTACCTAGGTAGACCTTGGTCCGCTCCAGTGGGGCCAGCACTTGAGCCGAGATCAGGATCTGGAAGTCCGTGCGTGAGCAGCTCACGTTCATGGGCACCACTGGAAATGAGAAGGAAGAGCTGAAGGCCTTAGGGGCAGGAGTCTGACCCCTCCCTTCTCAACCCCTCTCAAAGGGTAGTGGATGGGGAGAGAGGCCTTGGAAGGGAAAGGCTCCTGTGGAGTCGTACAGGCGCAGCGTGGGGTGTTCATATGCACCACTCTATTAATGCCATCGGACTGGGAGCACTCGAGGACAGGCACCATGTCAGGGATTTATGCTTGCCTGGTGTCCCCAGAGTCCAGTGCAGACTGGACAGTCAGCAAATGCTGAATGAATGGTGGAGTGAGGAGTGAATGAAATTCTTAAGTGTAATAAAAGCACCTCATGCCAATCACTTTGCCATGTGCCCACCAATTCACTTAAACACTCATTCAGTCATTCAATAAATAGCTGCGCACCAGATTTACAGAAATGGGTGGGGGGAGCATTAAATCCCTGCCCTCATGGAGCTTACATTCTAGTTGATGCAGAAGGCAATAAATAGGTAGAATACACATAGCATAGAGCGGAAAATCAAGCCAGGATGGAAGACAGGAAGGGCAGTGTGGGGAGGAGGAAGGAGAGTTGCAGGGGTTTTGGGTGCATCTGATACTGGGATTGAGCCAAGGCCTTTCGGATGGTAGGCGCTAGGTGAGTGCTCTGCCTCTGAGCTGCATCCACAGCCTAAGAATTTCAGTTTTGAAGAGGGTGGTAAGGGGACCCCCACTGTAGGTGGACCCCATGAGGTAGACACCACTAAACCTATTTTAGTTTTGGAAACCGAAATTCTGAGAGGTGAAGTTGTTTGCAGCGGCCGAGTTGGGATTTTAACCATTGAGTCTATAGAATTCCCAAGTCCGACGTCTCTCAGGGGGCTCTTGCTGCTTGACAGCTCCCCGAACACCTCCTAGTCAGCACTCTGTGTATGACTCTGAGCATCATATGCGCGTGTGTGTGTGTGTGTATGAGTGTGTGTTGTGTGTATTTGTGTGTGTGTATTTGTGTGTGTGTGTATATGGGGGCCAGGGGCAAATGTAGGGGAAAGGAAGATGGTGGCTGGTGGGAGGAAAAGAGACTGGCCTCTCAGGCCTCTGTGGGAAATGCCTCAGACACATTTCAGCCTCTGGTGTCTGGGCAGTCAGGGATTTATGGGCTGGCTGTCTCCCACAATGATCTTGGTGGCGCTGAACTGTGTGTCACCCCTGATTGATGCTGCGGCTGCCCTCCCAGTGGGGAGGCCGCCCGCAGTCTGGCCCCATCTGGAACCTGGCCCTGCACAAGTACCCCTGTCTGACCCTGGGCTCCCAAAGGGATCTGGGAGGGCGGGGAGGGGAGTCCCTGCACTGAAGTCCCTGGAACAGGAGCCAGGATTAGAGCTGCCCCAACCTTCAGTATCTGGAGGCACTGAAAGAAGTGGCTGGTCCTAAATCACACAGAGCTGGGAGAGGGCTCAGGACTGAGAACAAGACTATCACAGGCAAGAGGGACTCTAAAGATCTTTCAGTGAATGTTTTCATTTTGTAAGTGGAAAACTGAGATCCAAAGAGGAAGGCAGATGCCAGCTCCCTGGGGCAGAGCCCCAATGGCACCTGGCTTTCTGGAGCATGCCCTCCCCCCAGTGCAGAATCAGGGGAGGTGATCAGTCTGCAGAGCCACAGCTGTCCTGCCCGCGGGGATGGAGCCTACTGAGGCCCAGAGGGGTGGGTCTGCCCAAGGTCACTTCCCAACCACCGGCTTGCTGCAGCTCTGTTTCCTTCTCCATTGCCAGGGCCCCCAAATCCCCTGTTGTACAGGGTAAAGAGAAAGGAAAGAAGTTGGGGTTGTGCTCAGTGGTAGAGCACTTGCCTGGCATGGGTGAGGCACTGGGTTCGATTCTCAGCACCACATATAAATAAAATAAAGGTCCATTGACAACTAAAAAAAAAAAAAAAGAAAAGAAAAGAAAGAGGAAAGATCTTCTGAATGCTGAATAGGTCGAGACCCTTGAAGGAAAGATGCCCTCAGAGCCAGGCTTCTAGAGCATTCATCAACCCCTTTTACAGAGGAGCCCACTCGGGTGGTCAGCAAATGGCAGCTCTGGATGTGGTTCTGGTCTGTCCAGCCCTGGGATCCCCTCCCCATGTCCTGCTCAGGCACACACAAAGGCAGGAGAGTGGGTTCTAGTCCTGGCTGTGCCATGGACTGCCTGTGTGACCACAGTGAAAGTGAAGTCCCTTCCCTCCAACACCTCCATTTCCATATCTGCACAGCAAGGAGATTCGCCCGACTAGGCAGAGGACACGATAGGTCCAGAGTGCAGGCATTTCTAGGGCCATGAGCCAGAGAAGGGTGGTGGGAGGAGGGGAGAAGAAGTGGCCTCTCTTCACTGACAAAACTAACCAACACAAATACCGGCTTCCTCTGCAGTAGAGTATGGCCATCTGACTGAGTTCAAACCAATGAAAGACAAGAGAAAATCTTGTGAGAGCTTCTGGAAAAGCTTTTTGCTTTCCTGAGACATGTGGCTGGCACATCTACTACCCTCTTCCAAACCGGAACATGGACAGGATGTCTGGCATAATACTGGTGGCAGCCATGTTGCAACCATGAGACAGAGTCTGCCAGAAATAGCACTTGGAATCCTGTTGAGTCCCTGGATCAATAGGTTGCTGCCTAGCTCCAGACTTTTCTTTGTGTGAGGGAAAAACTAGTGCCATTTGTTCAGTCAGTATTTCCAAATGATACGAGCAGGGCTGTAGGCATCTCCATGGCTCTGCCAGTTGCTTCCACAAACAATATTGCCACATTTTGGGTAGTACCCCTGGATCCAGGGGATCAACCACAGTAAGAGAGAGGCCAGGGCTCCATGAAAGAAGGGGCCAGGAGAAAGGAATTAGGATGGTGGAGTTCAAGCTGGAGAAGGAGGGTCCTGCCATAGTAGAAAGAAGCAAGGGCCATCCTTGTGTGGTCTCAAGGTCCCAGGAGTTGGCAGTGGGACCAACCAAACAAGGGCTGGCAGAGGCCATCCATGGGATCAGAACGAGCTGGCAGGATGGAGGGAGAAGACTGCACAGAGCTGGCTGCAGAGCCTCACCTTCCCCCTACTCCAGTGCACCCACGCCCTTGACCCCAGCTGACCTCCAATGTAGGCCACAGAGAAGCCCCTGCCGGTGCTGCTGCGGTCCGTGTGCAGCAGAAGCAGGAGCTGGTTGTGGCTTGAGGTGATGGGTGGTGGCAGATGGTGGCCACACCAGTTTCCCAGCTGGGGTGCCTCCTCACTGGCCCCATCAAAGGCTGCCAGATGGTCGAAGTCACAGGTCCTGGTCAGGCTGTTGGGCTCCTCCAGGTCCAGATCCAGGAAGAACACCTTGACCCGGTAGCCAGGAGGCAGGCGGATGGTCCAGTGGCACCGGATATTGTTGGGGTAGGAACTGGGGTATTGAGGGCTGGAGAAGTTGCCTCGCACAGCCATGTACACCTCCTGGCATTCTCCTGGGTGGGGGAGAATGGGGGAGGAGGAGCATTGGGGAGGAGGGTAAAGAAGGCCCCCTCTGCTGCGCCAGCTCAGTCAGGGCACTGCAGGGGCCTCATAGTGACCACCCTGGCAGGTATGGACACCACAGCCAGCAAAACAGACAACCGATCCTGAAGTTTGCTTTAAATTGAAACTAAGCTGGGTACAGTGGCCCATGCCCATAATCCCAGCGGCTCAGGAGGCTGAGGCAGGAGGATCGAGAGTTCAAAGCCAGCCTCAGCAATGGCAAGGCACGTAGCAACTCAGTGAGACCCTGTCTCTAAATAAAACACAAAAATGGGCGGGGGATGTAGCTCAGTGGTTGAGTGCCCCTGAGTTCAATCCTTGGAACCAAAAAATAAAAATTAAAATAAATTTAAATAAATAAATAAACTGAAACTAGCTGAAAGCTGGGACTTTCGTTCCAAGTACAACCCCTTCAAAAATGTTGGTCCTGTTAGGAATTCAGGAATAACACCTCAAATGTGTCCTCAAACTTAAGTCCAAGCTCCCTGGTAGACAGACAAGGCAGCTCAGACAAGGCAGCTCAAACGTGGCCTTGCCCTTTTCTCACAACCCGTTCCTGTGGACTGAGAAATTGTCCTCCACGTAGTCATAGGTACACTCCTCGTTGTCCTCCACCTCCTATTGGCTGTTAAAGCCAGGTCACCAGCCTGTGGTGCTCGTGGGCAGTGGTAGAATCTGTAAGTGACCCCTATGGGAGGAAGCTGGGCCACTGGGAACAGAGCCTTAAAGAGCATATTGGCCCCGGGCCCCTCCCTGTCTCTCTGTTTTGCTTCCTGGCTGCCATGAGTGAGCAGCTTTGTTCTACCACACGCTCCTGCCACGCTGTTCTGCCTCGCCACAGTCCCAGAGACCACAGGCCAAGTGACCATGGGCAAAAGCCTCTGCAACTGTGACCCCAAATCAACCTTTCTTCCTTATACGTTACTTTGTCACAGTGACAGAAAGCTAACACACCCATGCACCCCCTACATTATTACAGCCTTACCAAACAACTTCCAGTACTGTGAGCACACCAGATACTGTCTTTCCTGCCTTTACACACCCTGTTCCTCCTACTTGGAACCCTTCTGCCTCTGGTGAAGTCCTTCAAGGCACTGATCAATTCTCTCCTCCGCCAGGAAGCCCCCCACTATTCTTTCTGTTAGCACACGTCACAGTGGGCTATCATTGTCTTAGCCATCACCCCCACTGGACTGTGAACTCTCCAAGCATTCATTGTTCCTTTGTACACATATTAATTGAGTACCTACTATATGCTACATAAAAAAAAAAAAAGCCCATGAGGAACTCACAGTGAGGCAGGAGGAGATTGATATATAAATGACACGTGCAAATGAAAAGCACTAGATCACAGTGAAAAAAATTTTGCTAAGGAGTTGAGGAAGGGATTCATTCTTTCTGAGTGAATCCAGGAGTCTTCACAGAGGAAGTGACATGCTTATGCCTTGCTATTGGCCAGGAAGTGAGTACTAGAGCATTCCAGAAAATGCAGAAAGCCCAAGGCCCCAAGGGGACAGAAAAATGTGGCCTCTAGAGGCATACAGGGAGGCACAGCATCCGGGTGAAGCTCCTCCTACCTGAGAAGTAATGGGCCTTGAAGCCCCGGCCTCCAATGTTAAAGTCGGACTTGAAGACCACCTGCAGCTCGTGGCCCAATGACACGAGGGTGGGGGGCCTGGTGCCACCACAGAAATGGTGCCCATGGGCAGGACCAGGCCCCCCCAACACTGCCACGTAGTCATAGGTGCACTCCTCGTTGCCCTCCACCTGGAAGTCCACAAACTCCAGCTTGATGGTGGCAGGCCCTGCAGCCCGGATCACCCAGTGGCATTCCACGTTGTTGGGGTAGTTGTTGGGGTACTCAGGGCTGGTGAGGACCCCTGATAGACCAGTCAAGACGCCACCGCACACATCTGCAAGGGAGCCCACTGGAACTGAATTTCTCTCCCCATAGCTCCCAGCCTCCTCCCTCCCTGGGAACCAGATGCCCCCAAATGCTGCTCCCACAGGGATGTCATGGGAACCGCATCACCATCCACTGAAAGCTTGGTACACCACAGGCAGAGGCCTAGCACTCAGCACCTACTCCACCTTTTAAAATCTCTACCCTAACCCTGGCGGGCATGTGTTGTTGTTTTCCAGGTTAAGTACGAAGATCAAGGAGCGGAGCAGGTAAGTAACTCACCTGAGTTTGGGTTCACCAGCAAGACCCCGGGGACAAAGATCAGAGTGCAAGGAGCTTATCTGAGAGATCTGGGAACATAGATGGGAGGGAGGGAGACAGGGACGGGAAGTATGGACAGGTAGCTGCTGAGCCTCATGAGGAGCTCTGAGCCAGGAGGGCACAGTTTATGTCACCCAGTGACATAATGTCACCGTTTACGAGGGCACTGGGCATTTACACACCAGTTCCCAGAGTCCAGGATGGGGGCTGCTGGGGTCGGGTGACCTTCTGAAACTTCAGAGAAAACAGGTTGGCGGGTTAACAGTCTAAGATTCTTGTGTTTTAGCATTCCATGGTTCTGTGCTTCTAAATTCAGCAGGACTGGGCATTCCACCCAAGTCCCCAGTGTTGCTGTGAGTGGACCCTGGGAACCAGGAGCCTCTGCTGTTGTCTGTTGCTTGGGCTGACCTGACTGAGCCTTTGGTCTTGACCTTGGGAGAAGGGAGAGCTTTGAGTCTGCACAGAAGCCTGAGGACACGAGGAAGGAGTCGAGGAGAAAGGCAAGAAGAACAAAGCCTTGGCTCCCTGCGCCATCCTACGCTGCAGGTGACATGCCTGCTTGAGGGAGTGAGGGTTAGAGACTCCACATAAGGGGCCAGTTCTAGGAAAGGTCCTGGGAGGGAGGGTCACCGCTGCATACAGACCTATATGCACCTGCCCCGGGCCCTGGGCCTCCCTGCACCAGGAAGGAGCAGGATGTGGCAAAGCGTCAGCAGCAGGAGCAGCAGCAGGGTCCCCAGCAAGCTGGTGTCAGGACATGGAACAAGAAGGACAAGGCAGAGAGCACCCAGGCCTCATTCCTGCACGTGATGAGACCCTCTGGGGGCTCCAGGAGCAACAGAGAGAGGCACAGGACTACTGCCTGAGCGTGAGAGCCCACGGCCACCAGGTCAGTGAGGTCATGCTGCCCCAGCCTAGAGGTGGTGCCCAGGAGCAGGGTCAAAGGTCACAGCACAGCTTCCACGCTAAGGTACAGACCTCCCCTGACTCTGCTGCCCTCCTCCCACCTCCATTCTGGGGCCAGCCTCCCACCCGTAAGCCCCCTTGACCTTTCTGGTAGCCTGCAGAAAAGCCACGGCTGGCCACATGCTTGTCAGAATGGAAGACGACAGCCATGACGTGCCAGGAGGAGGTGAAGGGAGGTGGGGGCACCTGGCCACAGAACCTCCCCAGTAGATTGCCCTTGTCTCCAGAGGCCCCGTTGTAGATTTCCAGGAAGTCAAAGCCACAGGTGTCATGGTACTCCAGGTCAAAGGTGTGGAAGGTGAGCAGCACAGAGGACCCCTCGGCCACCACAATCAGCCAGCTGCACTCCGTGTTGTAGGGGTACAGACTCGGGAAGTTGGGGCTGGAGAAGTTTCCAGAAGGTGCTGAGAGCACACCCCCACACTTGACACCTGGAGCAAGAAAGAAAGACGGCCCAGTATCAGTGCTGGGGAGGTTGATGTGTGCAGCAAGGGAGGCTGGGTCCTGGTGCAGGCCCTGCCCCAAGGCAGTCCGGGTATTCGTGTGTTTGTTCATGGATTTATATATTCTTTAAATTCTCGTGAAGCATTCTTTTTTATTTATTCGACAAATGTTGTCTGAGATGTCAGGGCATTGTTCTAGACATTAGGGTTACAACAGGGACAAAACAGAAAGTCCTGTCTTCACAGAACTTACATTCTGGTGGGGAAGACAGAAAATACACATGAGCCAACTGTGAAATAGTGGTAAGTGGAGAACAAAACAAGTGAGAAAGAAAGACAGTTGGCCTTCCAACCCTGGATAAAACTGCACTGTGTGCCAGGTCCTGGGTATGTGCTATCAGTGATTTAAAAATTATTCAACCTTAAAGAAGAATGAAATTATGGTATTTGCAGGTAAATGGATGGAGCTGGAGAATATCATGCTAATAGGTGAAATAAGTCAATCCTAAGGAACCAAAGGCCGAATGTTTTATCTGATATGCAGATGCGAATTCACAATAAGGGGGGCTAGGGAAGAATAAAGGTATTTTGGACTAGACAGAGCGGAGTGAAGGGAGAGGAGGGGCCATGGGGGTAAGAAGGACAGTAGAATGAATCAGACATTATTACCCCGTGTGCATATATGACTACACAACCCGTGTGATTCTACATCATGTACAACCAGAAGAATGAGAAGTTATACTCCATTTATATACAATGTGTCAAAATGCAATGTACTGTCAGGTAAAACTAATTAGAACAAATTTTTTAAAAAGGAGAAAAAAAATTTTTTTTTAAAGAGAAAGTGAGAGAGAGAGAGAGAGTGTGTGTGTGTGTGTGTGAGAGAGAGAGAGAGAGAGAGAGAATTTTAATATTTATTTTTTAGTTTTCGGCGGACACAACATCTTTGTTTGTACGTGGTGCTGAGGATCGAACTCGGGCCACACGCATGCCAGGCAAACGCGCTACCGCTTGAGCCACATCCCCAGCCCAAAAGGAGAAAATTAATAACAACAACACCCTTCAGTGAAAACATGCAGTCTGTTAACAGCATTCAAGGGCATAGGTACATACACATATGCTTGTATTTTTAAAAGAGTACAAAAGGAAACTAATAAGAATGATTCTGTGTCAGGGGAAGGATACAAAATACAGGAAATATTGATGGCCAGTCCTTGTGACACTCACCTTGTTTCATCATTTTGACTTGTGATCCCAGAAAATAATTCATATAATTTTAAAAGATAAAAAAAATTGATGAAACCCCTAAATATCCCACCTGGAAGCAAACCTAGCTGTGTCAAGTTGGAGACATAATCTCATGGGAAAAAAATTATTACAAATGACTTAGAAATACTACACTTTAACTGCACCTGCCTAGTAGAATATATCCTGAGGTCAAAATGAACCACGAAGAAATCTTAAACCATATTCAGCAGTCTTACTATTAGTAATAATATCAAATATTATTAAAAGTATTATAATATTGGAACAAAGAAAATAAGTATGCTGATGTCAATACAAAGCAAAATTTCAGTGTAAGAGATGAGAGATCCAAATACTACAATAAAAAAATAAAACTCTGTATCCTTAATATGAATTGAACATATCAATTTGAATTTAAAATTTATTTTTATTTCTAAAAAAATACTCTGTTCATTAAACAGGCCTAGAAGCAATGATATTTCAGTACCATTTTATACCACTAGACTTTAGATTAAGATTCTTATGCCCAATTGAACCAGGTCTCCTTAGAGAAATGGTTGATACTAGGTCTAGTACAAGAAATATATAAAACATACTTGAATAGCTTTGTGCTAAAGAGCAAAGAAGGTACCAAAGACTGCTGGGATTATGTGAAAGGACAGAGGAGCTAAAAGTTATAAAAGAAGGTACAATTTGAGCATCAAAAAAAGAATAACTACTACAGTAGGTTGAAACATATCAAATATATTTTTAAGAACTCATGAATTCATAATGTGATGCAAAAGAAACTTATTGGTTTCTTTTAGAGATTGTTAAGGTACTAATTTATTTTTGGAAAATTGATAAGTAGAAAGGAAAATAAATTAAACTTCTACTTTGTCACTCCCACATGGACTGGATTTTCAAACAACCAAATAGCTAGTGAGGGAAAATTATTTTTATAGACAGCTGCAGAAAGAATAACAGCATTAGAAAAATCATAGTTTTGCAAGTCTTAAGGAAATACTGGATCTACAAACATCATCAATATCTACTCTCATCACTGAGTAAAAAATTGATGATAGGTAAGAACTCAATGGTTGGGTATATAGGTAGTCTCTATAAAGCTCTTTTAATTTGTTAAATGTTTGAAATTGTTTATAATTTAAAAATAACAAAAGTTGATAGGTATAGTGGCCTGTGCCTATAATTACAGACACATGGGAGGCTGAGGCAGGAGGACCACAAATTCAAAGGCAGCCTCAGTAATGTAGTGAGATCTTGTCTCAAAATTAAAAAATTAAGAATGTAAAAGGGTTAGGGATGTAGCTCAGTGGGTTCAATCCCTAGTACTTAAGAAAAAGTTAAGTGGCTGGGGCTGGGGCTCAAAGGTAAAGAACTTGCTTTGCATGTGTGAGGCACTGGGTTCAAGCCTCAGCACCACACAAAAATAAATAAAGATACTGTGTTTTCATCTACAAGTAAATAAATATTTTTAAAAAAGAAAAAAAAGTTAATATGGAAATTTATAATGGATGAATCAGATTAATAATTCCTGAACCCACCAATAAATCTTATTGTCAAGGTGCAACCTTGGACAATATGTAATACATACCACCACCTATAAAGTCTTCTTGGAAAAATAAAATAAAGGAGCTTGAATTTAATAAGGTCTCTGGATCTATCTATAAGTTAGAGTGAAATGGAGGGGGATTTGTGTGTGTGTATGAGGGTGTGCTGGGGACTGAATCCAGGGCCTCATACATGCTAAGCAAGTGAGCTACATCCCCAGCTCTAGAAGAACTTTTTTTTTTTTTAAAGAGAGAGAGAGAATTTCAATATTTTATTTATTTATTTTTAGTTTCCGGCAGACATAACTTCTTTGTTTGTATGTGGTGCTGAGGATCGAACCCAGGCCGCACGCATGCCATGCGAGCGTGCTACCGCTTGAGCCACATTCCCAGCCCTAGAGGAACTTTTTTAAAAAATGAACTAAGTTAGGAGGTTTTTTCCCATGGGTTTCACTGTATTGCCCAGGCTGATCTTGAAAGCAATGCCCAGGCTCCCTGGCCCCCCAGCCTCCTGAGTAGCTAGGCCCCATGTGCACTTGGCCTAGACAAACATTTTTTTAGTCTTTTTTTTTTTTTAGTTACAGATGGACACAATATCTTTATTTTTATCTATTTATTTTTTAATGGGGTGTTAAGGACTGAACCCAGTACCTTATGCTTGCATGGCAAGCACTCTACCACTGAGCATCAACCCCAGCCCCTAGACAAACATTTTTAATGACACTTCAGGGATATGTTAAGCCAAGTCCAGAACATAGGATATTCTATAAGATTAAATATTCGGGATACTTTAACAACAAATGATGGGGGGGACACATTGTTATGTTGAAAGAGTCAAATACAAATATAATGTATGAACATTTTTGAATTCTGATTTGAACAAATGAACTATAAAAAAGACTTCTTCAGGCAATAATTAGGGAAAACTGGGCATGAACAGACTATTAGATAAAATTAAAGGAATTATTCCATTATAATGATATTGGGGTTAATATGGTTTTATGTCTTTCTAGGTTATAGGTATATCCTGACATATTTGTGTATGAAATATGAAATCAGCTTTAGATTCTTCTAGAACCATCAAAATGGGAAACAAGAAAGGTAGAATGTTAACTGTTGAAGCTGGTTGATGGAGATAAAGGGATTTATTATACAACTTTTCTCTACTTTGTATAGGTTCAAAATTTTTTGTAATTCAAATTTTATTATGACATTTTACCACCCTACTCACAATCAAGAGCCCCTCCCACTCCTTCCTCCACTCTTGATTTAGTGTTGTATTTTTCTCCTCACTATGCATCACTATCTAACACGCTTTTACTTGGGTAATTCAGTTCATTGCTAGTCTCCCTCCATGAAAATGGAAGCTCCATGAGAGCAAGGATTGCGATCCCTTTTGTTCCCTGCTATATCCCAAGCCCTAGCACCAGTGCCTTCTTACCAAATGGATGAGTGAGTGAATGACCTCATATAATGTTCACAGCAGCCCCATGAAAGGCAGGGCAGGTGTCACTGACTCCATTTTACATATGAGAAAACAGCTGCAGAGGGAAGCTATTTGCCATTTATTGCTTTGCTCAGTACCCACCCCCTACCTCCTGCTCCCCTTCCTTGCCCTGCAGGCAGACACATGAGCCTAGCAGGGCCATCCTTGGAGCCTGCCAATGCAGGACCAGCCTATTGGGTGTGCCTGTGCTCAGGTGGAGGCCAGAGCTCTGCTCAGAACATCTGGATGGGATTCCTTTCCTTTATAGTCTCTAGTCTAGGAGTGGGAGCCCTGGGTGGGACCAAGCATGGGGTCTATGAAAGACTCCTGGTGGGCAATTTGCAAGAACCATGTGAAGAGTGAAATTGGCCCTGGGACCAACAGGTCCTGGTTGCTGGCATCCCTGAGCCCACCTCAGCTACACCCCTGCCTCCCTGGTTCCATTCCCATGCTGCTTTGTTTTGCTTAAACTCATTCAGGTTGAGCTTCTGTCACTTGCACCCAAAGGTGTCCTGAAGAATGCACTTGACTAAAGTCCTCAGAGGTGAGCACATGCAGCAAGTGCGTGCCCCAGCAAGAAAGAAACTAAGGCTAATGAGGGATGTGGGTGGCTTCCTGGGCAGCTCAGGGAGGGTGCAGAGGCGGGATGGGAGAGTCAGGCGAATGAGACAGAGTGCAGTGTGACTGTGCTGTGGCTACACAGGAACTTTGGAGTACAGAGTGAGGGAAGCTGATCTGTCTGGAGACAACAGTATTAGGTGAAGGACAAGAGTTACAGAGAAGATGATATTGAGTTTGACCAAGAAAAATGAGAAAGTTTTGCTATTTGGGGAAGACTGGGGGAGAAAGGACACAATTGCTTGATCTCCGTGTGCCTCAGTCACATGCCTATAAAATGGAGATGCTGCTGCCTTCTTTGCTGGGTGGCTATGAGCTGGCTGCACAGATGTACACTGGGGTCACATTGTTGGCTCCCTGCCTGGTCCCTGGGTAAGGCCAGTGCCAGCAATAGTGTCTGGTTCACGCCTTTATGGCAAGAGGATAAAGAGACATTATGTCCAGTGCCTGTCCTTGTCCTTCCCCCAGTCTTGCCCATAGGCAGGAAAGGCCATGAGAGTATCAGAGCAGAACTCCTACAGCTCAGGTGGCCCAGGGCACCAGGACAAGTACAGACCTTGTCCACAAGGACCCAGCCAGGCATGCGGAACCCTAAGGTCACTCCAAAGCCATTGGAACCCCGGTGGCTGGAAAATGGGAATGACTAGCTCCTCCTGCTGCTCAGGCATGAGCTGAAACACGTGAGTGTCCATCCCATCTCTGCCAGCAATGAGGTGACTGAGCCCCCTTGAGCTTGAGGAAGATGGGGCACTGACAGCTGTTTGCTGAGCCCTCCATGCATCCCTTACAGAAGTGTGAAATTCTATCACCCCAGCCTACTGAATGGTACAACAAGGAACACTGACTCCGGCGCAGTTGGCAGTGGGATTCAGCCGGCCCTTAGGAGGACAAAGACTTGTTCCTGTGAGGAAACTTTAATAGTTCTCTGGGCCATTCCCTTTGTCCTTCATGATCCTGTGGCCTTGGATGAGTTCCTTAACATAGCTAGCCCTCAGTTTCCTGTAAAATGGGGACTGATACCACCTCGAAGCTGGTTGTGAAGATGAAATGTAATCATGTAGGTAAAGCCTCCGGCAGACACCGGCACTACAGAAATATTATCTTCCCCATCCCAGAAACAAATCCTCAATTCAGCCAGCCTCCACTAAAAGGGCCTCCTGCTTTCTGGTTTCTCACATGGAAACCTCAGGAGACCCTGGCTCTGCCTGCTCCCCACTCCTGGCTCTGACATCTCCAGGCGCTCCTACCTTTCATGGCCTGGGCCCTGGGGCCTGGGCCCAGCAGTGCCACAGCCAGCAGCAGACAAGACCCCAGCTCTGTCAGCATCTCCTCACCAGGGGACCCCACAGGGCTGCAGAGTTCAGATGAGCCTGAATCTGAGGGTCTGGAGCAGGGGAAAGAGAGGTGAGGCTGAAGGGGCCTCCAAGTTAATGGTGGCGTGAATAATTCATAGGCCCCTCGAATTAGTAAGCTGATCCCCAGGTGCTTCCTTCACTCCACTCTAAGGTGACAGATCTAATGTCACCAGGTTGACACGTTCTGAGATCTGCACTGGCCAGACTCTGTCAGGAAGGCAAGCAGCTTGGACCTGGAAGGAAATTGGGTGGTAGAGAAAGGGCCTAAGTAGTGGGGCCAGGCAGATCTGGGATCAACCCCAGTTCAGCCTCTAACTTGAACAAGTCATTTAACCTGTGTGGGTCTTGTGCTTCTCATAGTCCAGGGGGTCCATTCTAGGACCGTTGTGAAAACAGAATGAGAATGTGAGCTAAAGCATACAGTAGGACCTTACTGGTTTTTCCCATTCATTCTTCCCTCAAGGGAACCAGAAGGAGCCTCAAATGCATGGAACAAATGGACAAGCTTCCTTCAGATGTGAGAATTAAACACAGAAGGAGAGTGAAGGAGGACAGCAGAAGGAGACAAGGAAAAGTCTTTCTGATGAAAAAATGCAGCAGGAAGAGCAGAACTGGCGCTTGAGTTATGTTGTGCAGCTCCTACCAGCTCTGGGCCACAGTGAGCATTCTGGCCAGAAATATTACATGTTGGTTCCTTTATTGATCCACAAGCCTTGCTTGAACATCACTATGCCCAGAGCCAGGCCCTGGGCAAGGAGCTGGGGCTGCAGAAATGCCCTCATGGCTCTGTGTCCAACAGGAAATAGGGCCTTTTTTTTCCCTCTGAGAGTCTGTCTCTGCGGTTCAGTTCAGTTTAACATGCATTTCCAAGCTCCACCTCTGCAGAGCCAGGGCCAGGCACAGGGGCTTTGGAGGGAAACTAGCCTGCCTTTCCAGGGAGGCCCTTGGGCTCTGGTTTCTGACAGACTGAGGTCTGAATCCTGGGTCTACAGCTGCCTCGCTGAGGGGGTGTAGGAAAGTGACCTGAGGTCTTGGAGGCCCAGCTTCTTTGCTGGGGGAGAAGTAGTGGCAGCAGCTGCCTGCAGTTTGTGGGGAGGATTGAATGAGATCACGTGAAGGATGTCTCAGCCATCCTGGCCTTGTGTGAGAACCAACAAGGATGTTTTTTCTTTACCTTAGAGGACCCAGATGTCCATTTTCCAGACCACATGTTGCCTCTGGCCTATCCTTCTGTCAGGAAGTCTCCAAGGAGCCCTTGGCTGCCAGCACAGGAGGCCACCTAGAAGGTGTTCAGCAAGGAGCATCAGGAGTGGTCAGCCTGAAGGGTTGGCTCACCTGTGGGCCTTGACTGATAGGAAAGAAAGGTTCTGGGCAGCCTAGGGCTTAGCTTCTATTAAACATACCTACCCACTGTGGTATGAGATAAGGCTGCAGACTTCTGACCTCCCCAGCACACGATGCACCCCTCATCAGACAGGCCCTGGGGTCTTGGAGTGAATTCCTCCATGGGAAGACCCTGTAACAGGAAGCCTGCGAAGTGATCCCAACAAGCACAGGGAAGGATGTGAGATGGCATGGGTTGGGGTGGGGGGCAACTCAGGCTGTATGAGTGGGCAGGGTGCCACTGTGGGAGACAGGGCCCAACCCCAGGGGCATCTCCGAGACAGTGCTGACTGCCCTCAGGGACAGTAAGAAGCTGTGCTCATGTCCCAACTGCCAACTGCCACTGACCGTAGGCCATACAGTACGTTCTGTCCAAGGCATGTCCAACCCACCTGTCCAGGGCCCCAAAGTTGAGGCAAAATCCTAGGGATGTAAGTAGAGAGGGAATGGAGAATGCCCAGGGATGAGGGCAGGCCACGGCAGCATCTCTGAGCCACCCATAATAAAAGGCTGTCATCATCATTGTGACTACCCCCTGCGTTGAATATTCCCCAGTCATCCACCTCTGAAACATCTATCCCATCCCATAGAACAACTGCCTCTCATCCTGGCCTTATAAATTATACTCCATCCCCTAGTAACCACTACAGTGGCCCTTGGGTCCCCCAAGATCAATAGTTCCCAAACTGAACTCTCTAACACCCCAAGACCTAACTCATATCTCTGGAGCTTCCTCTTTCAGGTTACAGCTCAGCCAACAAAGACAGAAACATAGGGGTCTGTCTCACTCACTTGCCCCCATAAGCACACCTACTGGTCACATTTGGGCTTCATTCCTTCTTGTGCCTCAGAAAGGCTTCCAAAACGTAGTAACCTAAGCTTGCCATTTCTCCCGCAGTATTGCAACAGCCTCCTCACTGGCTTGGGTCCCCACCCTCATCTGCTCCCTGCCCACCCCCAAACCACTTTCTAATCTTTCTAGAAAACTAATAGGACCAAGTCATTCCTCTGTTCAGGATGAAATCCAAAGTCCTTCAGGATGCCTTCCTAGCTCGTCTCCCCATACTGAGCTGCACAGCTGGCCACTGCCATTTCTCTCACCTCTCTGCAAATTCTGTACCCTGAGCCTGGATAGCTCTTCTTTCTGCACCAGCCTCCCATGATGGACTCTTACTCAGCCTTTAAAAACATTTGTCATGGGGCTGGAGGTATAGCTCAGTTGGTAGAGTGCTTGCCTTGCATGTACAAGGCCCTGGGTTCGATTCCCAGCACCAAAAAAAAAAAAAAAAAAAATTGTCACCTCTTCCAGGGTTGTACTGACCCCTCAGCATCCCAGCGCAGACTGGAATTATAGGTATATGCCACTGCATCTAGCTAAGGACACTAATCTTGACTGGTCTCCCCAAAGTTCTTAACTCCTAATATCATTGCCTTGGGGTCAGAATTTCAACACATGAATTTTGGGGGGATGCAAACATTCAGACCACAGCAGCTTCCTATTGGAATCCAGGATGGTCTGGTGCAGTGGTTAAGGAAGAAGGTCTCAAACAGAGACCACATGGGCTCAAATAAAAAATGTGGGGGCTAATAGCTGTGTGACCTTGGACAAGTCCTTTGACCTCTCCAGGCCTCTGTCCTCATCTGGGAAATGAGGAGAGTGGGCATCTACAGAAGGGGTCAAGGCATGGCGGTGCATGCAAGAGCACAGGGAGTTTGGAGGTGTGCTCTCCCTTATCCTACGTTCCATCTGTATGAAATCCAAATGCTACACAGACCTCAGGACCTCAGGACTTCTTGTATTTTTCATTTTAACCCATCTCTCCTTGAAGTGACCTCTGGGTGGGGCCTCCTGCTGCCTGGCTGCCTTTCCCTCCAATCAGCAGCCTGGTCATGGCTTTTCTCCTGGTCCCCAGGGGAGGTGGTAGAGAAGGAACAAAGGCTGCCACCTGCCAGGGTCATTAGGGTGTGTCCAAGCTACCCACAACAGTCAATCCTGGGCGCCTGGGTGTCTGTCTGGGCCCTGTTGTGCCTACTCCCGCAGGCTGAGCTCTGAGGACCCACTCTTAAACTTCTAGGGGGGTCTCTTGGCATAAGATGACCCTCCCCTCCATGGCTGGCTCTGCAGCACCCCAGAGCTAGGGGACACGGGATCTCTGAAGGAGTGTGAGCTCCACAAGGTTGTGAGTACACCATCCAAGCTCAGGAGACTGATGCTGTGTGTTTCTGTTGCTGTGCACACATGTGTATCCATCTCTGGTTGTACATTTGTCATCACCTGGGCACACTCTTTCCTGGGTATGTGAGTCACTTCAACATCTATGCAACGAACACCAAGTACACTAGTCTCTGGGTGTGGCTGTCCCTTTCTGAGTGTGACTATGCTCTCGTGTGACTACTCATTGCTGTGTATTGATATCTGTTTCTTTGCACACAAATCCATCTTTGCACACACCCATGGATCACACAGGCAGTGCTTCCGTCTCTGCACGTATCTACGGCCGTACTTCTAAATCTGTATGTACTCTGTTGTCAGTGTGTCTATTTCTCCCTCTGGATATATTCAAAGATTTGGGAGTGAATGTCCTCATTGAGTATACATCCATGTCTCAGCACAAATCAGTACAAATGCCATAGCTGTGCATGTGCACAATTTTCCCACAGACAAAGTGCCTCTCCATAGGCACACGTAGTCCCACGGGGATGCAGCTTCTGCTGCTGTACAGATCTGTGTCTCTGGGTGTGCACATCTGTGCCTGGTGCATGTAGCTATGACAGCACACTCTTACACAGCTCAGGGCTGCACATCAGCACCCCTAGATGTCAGCATGGATCTCTGGGAGTGCATGTCTATAACAGGGGTTCCTCTCTGCATCAGTTCTGTCTTCATTTTGTATCTGTCACTGATTTCTGGGTACAAGGATGGTGCCTTCCCTGTTCCCTGGGCCAGTCGTGAGGACTTGGCAGAGGACAGGGCCAGGGAGGTGTGTCCACCCCTGGGGACTCCTGGCTGGGTCCCAAAAGCCGCATCTCCCTCTTACTAAAGATCAGGGGAAACTTGGAGAATGTCCCCTGAGTGTGGCCCTGGGGCAGATGCCAGGAGGTAGGAACATGGAGTAGCTTCCACCTTCAGCTCCCTGAAGTCAGTAGGGTCCGGCCCTGCCTGGTGAGGGCATGTCACACCCCACACTTACACTGGAGCCTGTTAGGAAGTCACGGGGTCCACACCATGGGAAAGTATATGTGCAGGGCTTGGGGTGTCCCTGGACGACGGAGGAGGGGAAGGAGACGAGGAATGGAACACAGGAAAGAGAAGCGACAGATTCAAGAGAAAGGGGGAAGCTGGCAGCAAGGGAGGTGATGGGGGGCTGGGGTCCCCAGGTGATGGAAGGTGGCTTATGGGGTTTGGCTGGGTCCTTGTACCTCTGGGAGCCAACCCTCACCCCAGGGCTAGGAGGCCACATCCTCTCTGAGTCTCTATTTTTGTTCTCTGGCAGTCACTCTGTCCTGTTCCTGATCCCAGAGGCTGGGGTGTGGAAACCACATCAGGAATGACATCCCAGAAGTCCAGATGGGCCAAGGACAAGCGTTCCAAAGAGCCCCCGGACAAGGGCGTGACCTTCTTGGCCTCCAATTCCTGGGCAGTTGAGAAGAAAGTAAGGAGGGGGCTGGAATCACTGCCATCTGCAGACCCCCACTCCAGCTCTGCACCCTTGTTCACTGAGACTCCACCCTGCAGGGAAGGAGGTCCTGTTTCCATGTCACAGATGAGAAAACTAAGGCCCAGCACCCGAAAAGACCTGCTCCTAGAGCTGGGGCTGGGCAGAGCTGGGTCCTGCAGTCCTGGGACTGGCAGGAGCTTGGGGAGTCAGGCAGAAAATAGGCCCCTTCAGAGGGAAGCTACCCCTCCAGCAAGGGGCCATTGCTCTCACCTATATTTGAGTAAAGGTTTGGGTTTGAATCTCCCCAGATTTGGATCCTCGTTCCACATCTGATATGCTGTGTAACCCTGGGCAAGTTGTTCCCCACTTTGAGCCTCAGTTTCTTCCATGTGTGAAGTGGGGTTCCTAG